TTATGACGGAGAGAAATGTTTACTGCATTATTTAAAAGAAAAAAAAAAAGCCTGGGCAACATAGCAGGACACTGTCTCTATAAAAAACATAAAAGAAAAAATTAGCAGGGTGTGGTGTTGTACACCTATAGTCCCAGCTACTTGGGAGGCTGAGGCAGGAGCATCTCTTGAGCCCAGGAATTTGAGGCTGCAGTGAGCTATGATCACACCACTGCACTCCAGGGTAGGCAACAAAGTGAGATCCTATCTCAAAAAAACCCAAAGACTAAAAACAAACCAAAAACCAACAAGCTAGCATACTAGCATACACATTATTAGCACGATCTCTGTTTGGAAAAAAAATTTAAACATTCTGGTAGACTATACATCAGAATGTCTAGATGGTAAGATAGGCATGTATGATTTGTATTTTCTTTTTGCTTATCTACTTTTTTTTTTTTAGAGAAGAGTCTCCCTCTGTCACCCTGGCTAGAATGCAGTGGCATCACCATGGCGCACTGCAACCTCAAACTTCTGGGCTCAAGCAATCCTCCTGTCTCAGCCTCCCAAATAGCTAGGACTATAGGCTTGGGCCACCATGCCCGGCTATTTTCAGTAGAGATGAGGTCTTGCTCTTGCTCAGGCTGGTCTCGAACTCCTGAGCTCAAGCAATCCTCCCAACCTGGTCTCCCAGAGTGCTAGGATTATAGGCGTAAGCCACCACGCCTGGCCTATATCTACTATTTTTTGGCTTATCTGTTATCTAATTTTTCTTCAACCAAGATGTATTACTTATACAAGGAAAAAAACTCCAATTAGTTGCTATGCAACCAATTAGTATATCGGATTGAGCTCAAAATTACATCATAGTAACAACAGAGGCCAAGGGGGTGGGGGGGTGGATCAAAAAAGATGCAAGCTGAAGAAAATCTAATTTTTTCCCCCAGTAAATCAGGACTAAGGAAAGACTACTCCTAAATGTCATAGTCCAGCATATATAGCACACTGCTGTTTCACAGGGACATAGATTGTGAACCACAGGAAGGAACTGCTTGGCTTTCTAACTTTGAATGAAAAACTCAGTTAACATGAAGGCTAACTGTCCCCAGACGCATGGTTAATGAGGTGCTCACAACAGAGCGACATGTTCAGTGTAATGGAAGGATGAGAACTTCACATAAGGAAAAACAGGTTTTCTTTTCCAATTTAAAACTACAACTAAATTTGTTTTATATCTCGCTGCTGCATGTCATTGTCTTCTCATCTTACTGACAATACCTCCATTTTTATGGTGTATATATGTTCTAGCACTGTACCATTTATTCCCAGTTGAAGTAAATATTTTATATATTTCCTATCCTTAGAAGTAATACAAAAATATTTTCTATCCTTGCCTATAAATGTTTTTAAATGGCAACCACCAATTCTTCATGAAGATTATTTTAAAATGTCATCTTACGTCATTTTTTCCCATTATGCGAACATATTCTAATATGAGCTGTTTTGGACTTGGAAAAAACTAAATTATGTATTTCTTTACAAGCCTTCCCCCACCTTTTACGGAAATGAGCATACCTGTGTTTATAAGAAATAAAGATATAGCAAAATGTGAACTGAACTTACTATCTTGGGCTCATGTACTCTGGCCAAAGAACATAAGAAGGTAAATACGTGTTACCAGGGTCTTCTATAAATCCCCAAGTAAAATAAAAACAAAAACAAAAAAGCCATATACATAATAAAAGCCTATGTGGTCTTAAAAGAACACATTTATAATTAATCTCCTACTCACCCTCCTCACACTCTCAGCTCTTACCTGACTTTAAAATCACTAAGGTTAACTATGGGATGGATACACTTGTACATTTCAGAGCACGTTGCCCATACTGTAACAGCACAGTACCTTCAACGGGAGAATGCAGGCTCCCAGAGGCCAAACCTACTGTGTAACAGCTGACAATACCACCAATTTCTGTGGTGTGTATAGTATGTTCCAGCGCATCATACATACGGTGCCATGTGACTAGCTTAGTTTGATTTTTTTTTTTTTAAAGGCGTCATCTTGGAACTATTCATTTGCCTTAAGGATGATGACTTTCTGCAAAACACCTTTTAACTCCTCTTTTAAAATTTCCTTCAAGGAGGGTGAGGTGGTGTGTGCCTATAGTCAGTCCCACCTACTCAGAAGGCTACCGTGCCTCCTATGATCACACCTATGAATAGTACTATGATGGCATCCATGAACAGCCACTGCACTCCAGCCTGGGTGACAAATTGAGACCATGTGTCTAAACAAACAAAAAAAGCTAAAACAAAACAAAAATTTCCTTCATAATCTACAGTTATTTTTTCTTGAAAAGCCTTTAGTTTTAGGTCAAAGCTTTGCTGTCCCAGTGGGGCACTTAACTCCCACTGGTCTCAGTCCCCCATTAGAGTCCCTGAGGGAACCTTCTTCTATCCCGACAATCTTGGCTGGCTCCCCTGACAGTCTCCCAAGGGCAACAGGCACCAGCGCCATCTGAACCGATTTTCAGGCTTCAGGAGGGAAGGGGATGCTCTGCTCTGTCTTGTTTGCTGATTTCCCAGGCCCTGGCATACTGTTAGGTAGTCAAATATTTAATAAACCAGTGGATCTGTAGGCCAGCGCTGTCCAATACAGTACTCACTAGCCACTTACCACTTTTGAGCATTTGAAATGTGGACAGTACGACCCGAGAAAATGACTTTAACTAGTCACACAGCTCTGGCCCGTCTTTGGTAAGAGAGTTAATGCCTAAGTTGATTATTTGAAAAGTCAACACCTGCACATATGCATGTATCTTTAAAGCAACATACTATTTCACATATAAAAACACCAGATATTGCCAGTGACAGGCCAGCTTTATTTTCCAGAGCGCACACCACTATTGTTAAGGAGTATTTTAGTAGAGCTTTAGTTTGAGCACGTTCTAAAGAACTCAAATTTCAGATTTCAAAGCATTTTGAAGACCCAAGTGTGTATTTTCCTCACAAGAAACTTGGCTAAATTTAGCCACTCCGTATTCTATTAATTTGCTACTACGAGGTAATGGAAAAGTCTGGAACTATCAGCTCCTCAAGGTGGAAACACAGCGCTTCAAGTTTTACACGGTGAAGAGGTTTAACCATTAAACACGCTAGCACGTGGCGGGCACAAAATGTCTGACCGATGGTCGGAAGGAACCACGCTGGTGGAGCCTCAACCTCGAAACCCCGGGAAACGGACGAGTCGAGTCGCCCACTCTCTCAGGTCCATCAGGACACATGGCTGCCGTGCCGTGGAATCCACCCCACTCCTCACTGCCGGTGACCCCAAGGATTAGGGAGCGAGGACACAATACCGAGCACGCCAGGTAAACCCTGGTCGTCTAATTCCCACAAGTTTGCAACTTGTTAACCACAGCCACCTGAGTGCGCGAAACTCGGCCTCTCGCTACACCTGGGCGGGGTGGGGGACCCTCCTGGGCTGCCCTCGGCGGGAAAAAGCCACTCACCGCCGAGGGGGTCAGGCAGCAGCGCGGCCCCTCCGGGCGCGGGGGGCTTGCGGCGGCGGAAAGGGAGCTAACTCAAGGAGAGATGAAAGAGCCAGTTGTTTCAGGCCCGCCCCACGCACACACAGCCGCGGCGCGCGACGGCCTGCCTCGGGCCCCGCAGCCCGGATGGCGCGCGGTCGGCAGCACCAGGCCGCGCTCGAGCACGTGCGGGGGCAGAGGCCTCACGGCCCCGCGTGCCGAGCCGAAGCCAGCCGAGCCCCCGCGCGCCTGGCCCGGGGCGGAGGCGGCCGCCTGCCGTTGCCCTTTTAAGAAGGGGGAGGGGGTCGGCAGCGCGCCTGCAAGGGGATGAGTCGGCGGCGGCCGCAGCGCGCGGCTCCCGCCAGTGCGAGCCGAGCCCCGGCGGGGCGGGGAAAAACAGGTCGAAGGCTCAGCCAGAGAAGGGGCGGCCGGCAGCAAGCGCCGAGGGCGGGCGGGTAGGGCCGCTCGGCAGAGCCCCGGGCCGGCTCACCCAGCGGAGGGAGACGGGCACCCGCCAACATGGCGCTGTGCAGGCCTGTGGCGCGCCCCGGCTGGCGTGAGGAGCCGCCACCCTCCCACACCGAGGGGCCAGCCTCCCGGGACAGGGGCCCCCGAGCTCCGCAGCGGCGGCGCCGGGGGAGGGCGAAGCCACCGCCACAACGGTTGGCTCGGGTAGACCGGGGCCGGCCCAGGGAGGCTGGAGTCGGGGAGGCCGGGGGCGAAAGGGGAGCGAGGGAAATGAGGAAGAAAGTTTTATTTTTAGGCTTGAAAAATGGCGGGAACCGCGTCCTTTTTTCAAACTTGGCCTCGGCAGGGGCGGCGGTTGCGCCACCTCCGCCGCCTAGGCCCGCCCCTCCCCCGCTCCGCGCGCCAGGCCGCGCCCGCCCAGGCCCCCAGGCTCCCCAAGGGGCTTCTCGCCCCCTTCAAAGGAAAAAAGCCCCCTCCTCGCCCCACGATCCCTGCCCTTGGCCGGGCCAGCGCCAACCACGAGACCCGGCCAGGGGACCCCCCCCCCTCCCGCGCCCCTTCCCCAGCCGGCTCGGGACGCGCGGAGCCCGGCTTGGCCGGCAGCGGACCCAGGCGGGGCTGGCCGCGCAGCTCCTCGGCAGGCCCAGCCTCCGCCCGGTCGCGCATCCCGGGAGGCTGCAAACATGGCTCCCAGCGTTACACAACCCCCTCCTCCCTCCCTCGCCGCCGGCCACTCGCACACGCGCTCCCTCCGGGGAAAGACCCCAGCGAGCGAGGAGCTCAAAGTTTGCTTTCCCCCACTCCGCTGCGTTCCCTGGGCGGCCGCGGGGCTCCGCGGGCGGCAAAGAGTTAATCTCCGCGCGCTCGCTCCCCCCTTCGCGCCCGCCCGCCTTCCCCGTCCGAGCCCGCGAGCTGCGCCCTTCCGCGCGCCGGGGCCGGCGAACCAGCGGCCCGGGCCCCGCAGGTGGCCACCATTACATGCAAGTCATCGGGGAGGGGGCACCCGACGGGGGCTATGCTTACCGCTTCCGGGGTCCGGTTCCTCAGCTCCAGGTGGATTCTCCTCTTCATGTCCATGTTTCCCTCTTCCCCCCTCTTCAAACTTAACTTTCCGCGGCGGGGGCGGAGGGGGGAGAGGCGTCCCGGCCTGCACAGCGAGGGCCGTCGGAAGGGGTCTGCTCGCGGCAGAGGCCGACGGCGCGGTCCCGGGCGGCGTGCGGCGTGCGGGCAGGCGAGCGGAGCCCCCGGAGCCAAGTTACTCACGGGAGCGGAGAGAAACCATGGAGGGAAAAGGGGGCTGGAGCGCAGCGCTGGTCTCACTACCGCCGCCCCCGGCCGCGGCCCCGCACTGCGCTTAAACCGGCGACGCGGCGCGGCGGCTGCTCGGCTCCACTCGGCCCCACGCGGCGCCGCTCGGCTCGGCGGCCCGGCTGCACCAAGGACGGGGCGGGGAGACGCACGGCGGGAGGGGCGGAGGCTAGGAGAAAGGCCCAGCCCGGGGGAGTGGAGCGACTTCCTCCTCCCTCCGACTGCACGTGGGGCGGCTGATGTAAGAGCTTCCTCGGGGGCTTCCGCGCCCGCCACCGGGCTGAGACCCTCGACTCCACTTTGCCGCGCCCGCAGTCAGGTCTCTGGCCGGCGCGGGAACGTTTGTGGGGGCGGGCTGGTGAGAAGCTGTTCAGTCCGGCTTCGGGGGTCCCCAAAGTTAAATGCGTCTGCGGAGGCTCGCCGGAGCCAGCCCGACGCCCGCGGAGCCGCGAGAGTCAAGAGAGCCCAGGACAGAGGCTTGGAGGTTCGCCTTTTGCCTCCCACACAGTCTGGGGCCAACAGCAGTCCCCTTGCGTAGTGGTGTCCAAAATGCTGCGGAGGACCCGGTTCGGGACGGACTCGCGGCCGGCCCGAGTTGTACCGCGTGGCGCCGGGTGGAGTCGGCTTTCGAGGGCTGTGGCGGGCCGCTGGTCGGGGACAGGGCAGCCCCGGTCGCTTGCCTAAGCCACAGAGCAGCCGAACGTCTCTTCCCAGTTCAGGAGAATCTTCCTCGGTTTTCTAACATTTTACCACTAGCTAGCGGAGGAAACAATTAGCATTTCTAGTAGGGCCTCTGTTTTCTCGCAGACTTTTATCTCATTTATTCGTTAGGGCCCCCTGTGAGGTGTGTAAATTCTTGATGGCCTAAGTTTCGTGAAGCCTGGCAGGCAGCCTTTGTAATGGTCTGGCTCATAGGGTCCCAGGGGTTAGAGCACCAGGTTAGGGTGAGTGTGCTTGGCATACCACCGGGAATTAACTTATATTCGGCTTAAAATATGTAAATACATCATGTGTCAAAGCAGATACTGTCGTATTTCTAGTTATAGACAAGAGGTACCAAAAGTTAATAACAATTAATTTTATTCTGCAGCAGGATGGGGGGAGAGCAGAGGGAGAGAGAACAATTTTTTAGAGAAAAACTTAAGATTCTATGCAGTAACCTAAGGTTTCATGGAAGTTAAGAAAGCCTCCCCCTTCCCATTTTGCCTAAGTTTACATTCAGTGGCACACAGCGCAAACTTTGTTTTAAACCAATCATGTAAGTTTTTAAAATAATGAATTAACATTTGAAAATGAAAGTTTTAGAAGGATTATGGAAAAAGGCAAAAACTTTCTCGTATGTAGTTTTTTGACCCCTTTTGTAGTCTTAGCAGACATCTTTAGGGCAAGGGAAAATGGAGCAGGATGTTCTCAGGAGGTTACAAGAGGTCTGTAGCTATAAGTTTATGAGAACCACAGGGCTACGCAATGAAGGCTTTTACACAAAAATACCAAATCATTTCCGTGGACTAACAAGCAGTTATTGAGCATCTGCTTTTAGGGACTTCACATTCTTTCTCATTTAATCCTCAGAGAACCCTGTGAAGTAGGTGATAATTTAATCATTTTACAGATGAGGAGCTGACTCAGAACCTTAAACTACAGGGCCAGCAAGAGGTGGAGCAAGAGTTTAGAACCAGAAGGGTCTGACTCCCAAGCCTGTCATCTTTTCTGCTACATCATCAGTCTGGCTGGAGTGGAGGCAGTATGAAGGGACTGCTTTGGAGCAGTAGGTTGGGAACAGTTACAGACAGCTTTTAATACCAAACAACATGCAGGTGTCATCTTGTAGGAAAAGGGGAGATGCTGAAGGAACCTTAAATGTGTAGCTCTGTGCTACAGAGAGTGGTTTACCTGGTGGCTCACGGGGAAGGTGGTATTGGTTCTTAGAAAGGACCAGGGCAAATCTTGAGACCCTGTCCTCATTATGGCCAACTGGAGGGTATGAAGAACTCTTTCCCCATGGTACATAGCTCATAGATAAATGCGTGTTTTATAGTATTAAGCTACAAAGTAATTAATAAACATAGCCACAATGTGCAGCAAATAAAAAGAAAGCAAAAGAGCCAAAGGAGAGACTACAGACAGGGCACTGTCCCTTCTTACGCAGCCGGTGCTGGCATGCACCTCTGTGAACAAAGAGCATGTGTTCCAGTGACATGCTTCTTTGTCAGGGGCTTCACTGCCAGAGGCATAAATAACACAGGCAGAACAGGGTGTGTCTCATTGCCCTGCCAACATCTACGGGACTGTCAGTCTACAGGCCTGAAGGGACTGTTGTCACAGGGCCCGGGTTCTGAATATTGCTGTACTTAACATCATTCTGTGTATGCATCTGTGTGTGAAAAAGATGCAGACTATATAATTGTATCTAATCTGCAATTATGATGTCCATAGATTTATGGATTTGAACAAGGGCTGGAAGGGAATAAGGAAAAGTAAAAACAGCTTAGTTAGGGAGACTGAACTATGGGTGAATTTCTTTTTACTTCCATTTATGTTAACGTTTGACCAGTAAGTAATAAAAATATCAAATAATGCCAGGTTTTGGCACCCCTTTGAGTCTTCAAACTGCCTGTTAATCAGAATGGGTATGTATTCCAGTAAGCTCTAAAATATCTGAGAACACTGAGCTAGTTTGTAACTAGCTCCCCACCCCAAAGCCTCAGCAACAGCATGTTATTTGTCAAGTCATCAGATGATCCAAGCCTTCCACAAACTTTGTCACTGTGGATAGACTTTCATAAATCTGAAGATGAGAGGAAACAACCCCACTAAGGCATTGGTTTAACTGGCTTTGAAACCAGTATAACAGAGTGGGTATATTTTCTCTTTAGTAAAGACAGTATATGAAATTGATGCATAATGCAGGGTGATGAAATCATTACTCTTTAAATACTAAATACTTCCATTCTTCCCATCCTCCTCTGTACACACATGTGTACACTGGTAAGAACAAACCACCCCCCTGAGTTTCCACAGTGCGGTGCACGTACCTCTGCTATAGCAATCGGCAACAAATGGTAGTTGTTGAAGGATCTAACTCCTCAACTAGACTATGAACTCAAATATTTCTGGATGGTATGAATGGAGAGAAGGAGCTTGGGGCCATCTTTAGAATATAGTAGATGCTTTATAAATGTGTATTATGTTGAAAACGATATCACATGTACTAAAAAATACCATCTAGGCAGCTGAGATTATTGAGATAAGGAGAGAGGGAGGGGCAAATAGGTGAAAATGGATTAAGAAATGAGATCCTATTGGTCTCCACATGATAAAAACAGAGGAGGGGAAAGTGTCAGGTGTGCAGGGAGCTCCGGGTCCAATAAGGGTCCCCTGCCAAGGGAACCAGGTTCCTTTCTGCTCTCTGAAACCAGCTGTAGTTGCTGGGTCTTCCTGGGGCAACAAGAAAGAGCTGTGACTACCAAGAGTACTAATATTTATTAAACATCATCCTTATGCCAAGAACTGTGCTTCGGATTTTTGTGTACATTGCTTCTGAGTTAATCCTGGCAACAGCTTCCTGGGACAAGACTATAATCCACCTTTTTTTATTTAGGAAACAGACTCAGCAAAGTCAAGTGGGTTTGCTAAAACTCACATAGCTAGTAAGAAGCTGGAGTTCTCTGTCATTAAGGGCTCACTGTAATTCTCATTACTTTGATCCTGCTTTAAAAAGATTTACATGTTTATTTATTGTACAGGGATAATAAAAAAATTTAAAATTAAGTTCCTGCCATTGAGCTGTAACCACCATTAAGTTGTATATCCTTGCAGCTTTTTTTCTGTACTAGACATATCTTTTTTTAATGTTCAAGATTTTCTTTATAGAAACTTGCTTTTTCCACCTACTAGTATGATAGATCTATATTACTACAACTTCGTTCAATGGTTTTCCCGTGTTAGGGAATGACTCCATTGAGATGTGAATCCCGTTCCATCACTTACTGGTTATATGCCTTAGCGCAAACAACATAACCCCTCTAGGCCTCAGGCTGCTCATCTCAGGCCCATCGTGTTGTGAGGATCAGACATGATCTTGTGAGCGAAGTTCCTACGTGGTGCAGTGCCCGGCACTCTCCTCTGCACCCCAGCCACAGTCACTGCGGGCCTGAGTTCCTCCCTAAGCAGTCCCAGAGCTCACTGGCCTCTTTGAGAGCTGAGAGCTAGTAACATTCTGCTGTGGCCATCAGTCCTCCACCTCAGCTCCTTGTCCTTTGTTTCCTGTAGTTACCCTACCCCTTAGACTGAGGGGGGAGGGGATCACCCCAAACCAATATGTTTTTGACTCTCAAATGGTCAGACTTATTTTCTGTTTCACACAGTCCTTGGTCTCTCTTGAGGAACTTGGAACATGCCCCTGAGCTAAACTGGAAAATATCTGAGTGCACTTCTTCGTAATTAGCCAGCGTCCCCACCATCTGGACCCTCTTACACTTCACAGGGATTCCCCTGTCCACACAGAACTAAGACTGATCCAAGAGTCCAGTTCCTACTGCCTGAACCCTACCATCTGTTCTCCAGCTCACTTTACCTGCGCCTGCCTGGCCAGGGGCCGTGCAGTGGCCTGCAGCAGTTTAGTCGCCCCTCACTCTAAATTCTGGCTTATGTGGTCCCTAATTTGCTAGTCTCTTATTTTGATAAGGGCCCAAAGTACCGAATACCCTCAAACTCTAATTTTTCCTTGAGAATCAGGGCAGCCAGGCTCCCAGTTTCTTTTTATGTTTATCTATGTGTGTACTATAGAAAACTTGGAAACTATACTTACACAAAAAGAAAAAAAGAAAAAATTTCTGTCCAAGGCTTTTTTTAAAGGGCTAAGCACACTGTTCAGTTTTTGGTGTCTGTTCCTCCAGCCAGTCTTTTCTCCACACACACATGGCATTTTCTCGAGTCTCAGATAGTGAGCAGCATCATCTCATTAATAACAGCTTTTCAGGAGGCAGGGAGAGGGCACCCACTACATGAAATATTCATATCAATTATAAGAGATAGTCTTATTTCAGAAATAGTAAGAAGTGAAAAAAAGTATAATATGTAGGAAATAGTGTATATATTACATTTTTTAAAATTTTCAAAAG